CGTGCGATCGTCGTCCGCGGAGCGACCGTGGGCGATCGCCGCCGGGGTCCCGGTACCCACGGACGGCCGTGAGCGACGGCCGTGGATGCGGCGCTCACGGTGTTGTAGCTATAGACTCTACGGAACCGACGAGTCGGAAGACCTCCCCTCCTCCCGCCGTACCGCCGACGGAGTACCGGTTAATGTGGTACACTGACCTACTCTCTAGCCACCGCGGCACACCGCACCAGCGGAGAATAACCCCACCACACTGTTGTTCTGCCGTCCTTCTCGCGCAGCCGGCTACTTTTTCTCTCTCTCGTCTTTCCTCTCTCTTTCCTTGTCTCTCTCCCGCATTCCCTTTCCGCTTCTATTTCTCACCGTTTCTTTCTCATGTCCCGTCCTCCCCCCCCCGCCTTTCCCGCGGCCTCTCTTTCTCTCGCTTTTGTAAAATTATCTCGTTCGAGTGAAATAATGCCGGTAAAATGTAACTGGCGCACAATATCGGTCCGCAAATAACAATGTCTTTATTAAGTTTAAGTTTTAATTTTACACGTTGGCTCTCTTTAACATTTTGCAAAATGTAAAGTGTTTGACGTGTAGAGCGCAAACAAAAGGATTTCCAATTAAATAATTTATTACGTTCCTCCGAAGAAGGTCACCGCAAATGCGGCGAAAGTTATATGTATGAACAAATATATGTTCACGTTTATGAAACGTAGCCATGCAAATTTAAATGTGTTAACGCGCATTGTATTACGGATTATTTAAGCAAAGATTTGCAAACAAATCTTTACATTTATGCTTCCAATCATTTAAATGATATATTAATTATTAAATTTATATGTGTGTGGCAATATTGCTCCCGATAGCTCGCGATTGCGCCCGTTAAATTCCGACCCTGATATTACAGAACGCCTGCGGCAACATTTTGCTTTACAATTTGTGACGCAAATGCAGTAAAAATGAAGTATATGTTCACCATATGTTAAGATATTCTCTGCATTAGCACTCTATTGGTGCCAATGTGCGCGCGCGCGCGCACACACACAGGATGTCCCAATATTTCGTTTACATTGTATTATCGTGCCTTAAATCGTGAAGTGCTAGATATCTTACAAAATTACGGTTAGATTTTGAAGACAATTGTGAATTAAATATTGCCAGAAAATTTAGTAAATTAACAGTATAATATATAACATCAAAACAAACGAATCATTTATATGCAATTAATAAGTTTTCAATATAATTGTATATTCACAATGTCTCACGCTTTTGTGTTAAACACACTGACAATATAGAATATGTACCTACATGTAAAGAATATCGTTACGTATGGCGAACATATTTTGAAACACTTTGCAAATTCAATGGGCAACAAGATAATTTAAAGACTTCGTTTTTACTTTAACCTTTCGTTAGGAAACGCAAAAGCTACGGAAAAATCAGGCATATCCAGATGAACAGCGTTCTAAGAAATGTTCGATTTCTGCGTAACTTTTTTTTCACGAAATTACCTATGGTGAAGAAATATAAAAGATCTAAAATCTTGCTTTATACTTTTTTTTGTTCAGGACATTTTTGTGTCAAAATAATTAGTTTATTTAGAAACCATGCAATTGCAAAAAGAAGACGATGTTAACGAATTTGAGCCTAATTTGTATTACTAGTTAAAAATGTTCATAAACTTTGCACAGATTTGATCTATCACAGATTTTATTTATCCTGTGGAAATCCTTGAATGAAATTTTTATCATTGTCAATCAATGGTCTGCAGCTCAACTTAGCTTGAGAAATTAAGCAATTTTGATAGCTGACAAGCACAGAAGACGTTTAACCAATCGTTCATCAATATTCCATTCAATTATACGATCGTCTCGCGATTTGCGACAAACACCGTCGATTTCCTTATAACATTAATCGAGGGATCCTCGCACAGGCAACGTGCCCCATCGAAATCGAGCTGCGCGAAGAGGAGTCGTTGCATAAAAAGCGCACGCCACTAGAAATCGACGACCTGACACTGAGACCGTCCCCGAGCCAATCGCGGATTGGCATCGAGGAGCAACGAACCGCCTTGCGAGATGTCTACAACCTCGGGCAACAAGTCCGGGCCCCCACTAGCGAGCCGGGTAAGGAAGTCGTTCCGGAGAAATTTCACCGCAAACTTAGCAGCCTCCGTCTTCGTCGTTATCGTAGTGTACGTGGTTTTACGTCGTCGTCACCGTCGTCCGAATATCTAACAGCCAAGTCGAGTCTCGCAAAAGAAACTCCGGGGGAACGTGAAGATATAACCGCGGAGATGTATAACGAGCTTCTATTCGTTCTCGATAACTCGATTGTCTTTAAGTAAAAACGATAAGATATGCACAGGAAAAAAAACAATAATGATGGCGCGCGCCATGGAATTTTATTTTATTCAAACTCACGACGCGACGTCATGGGGCGACAAAATCTTATAACCTTTGAAATCTAATTGTAAGCTTAAAGCACATCGTACTAGTCTATGCGAAAATTAATTTCGTTATCTCGAGAATACACGGAGACGCAAGATCTTTTGAGCTACCACTTTTTTCAAATATTTTCTTTTCATAGGTTACTATTGTTTGTATGACTATACGCATTTTACGTTTGTCGCACGGTATTTAATTTCGGACACTTCTTAAACAATAACGAGAATTTAGAAATAGGCGAGGAAAAATAGGTAACCTATTCATTGGAGATTTATTGCTTAAGGGTACTGTCGGGTGAACCGAACCCAACACTTGAATACCTGGCCAAAATGGTCAATTTAGCTCTATATACATCACTAAATGCTAAACCAGAAAAAATTCGTTAGACATTTCCTTTTTTTTATAGTATCCGGAAATAGACTCTTTTCAAAGATTTACAGTTCGATGGTACATAAACCTTTTCGGGACGCCACTATTTTCGGAATTCCGTTAGAACGGGTTACACGCAATATAATGTAGGCTGTGGAGTATGGGGAAAAAAAACTATAGTAACCTGATTTTGACCAGAAAGTAGTGTCTCAACGAAAATAACCCTTTGGCCTATTTTGACTTATGAGACAACGTATAACATGTTTATAATGTACAGGTTTTTTTATCATGATTTCAATAATTTTACAATTCTAGAAGATGATGTATAATATAACACAAAAAATTAACACGGTCTATTAAAACGAAAAAAGAATAAAATTTTCTTGGTAAATAAAAATTAATTTTTATTTAAATAAAAATTGTCAGAAATATATATATGTGTATATATGTATGTGTGGGTGCATGTGTACACGTAAGTGTAACCACCAGTCTTACAAACTGTTATTCAATAGGGAATTTTTAGAAAAGGAAATTTCTTTTTAAGAATTAATTAAAATGTATTGTTTCGCATACAAATATCTTACGGCTATCAGATTCGCTCAAAATCTTCGGTCCTCGGAAGATTGTAAAGGAATCTTTACCGTTTTTAGAATTTCCAAATACGTTCGAATATAAACTTGACCTTGTCTCAACGCGTGGTTCACGATATCGCGATGTGGGCTTCGATTCGATCGATTCGACCCTGTCGCAAAATTATTGACTCGGGCGCACAAATAGACGACTACTTATCGTGAGTGGCGAACGAAGTTCTATCGTTAGAAAGCGTGGTAATTCGAGTGACGTATGTGGCACAAGAAGTAGTAGACGACAAACGATTCGTAAAATCATGGAACTCCACTGCGGCGGAGGTTTTGCGATATTCCAAAAATTCAAATTCTTTACTCCTAACCGGATTAATCAATATAATCAATAATACGAATTAGCCAACGGCGCAAATTCGTTAACATCGTTGATTTTCCTTCTGCAATCGCATGGTTTCTAAATAAATAAATTATTTTAGCACAAAAGTTTCAATAAAAAAGGTACGTGAACAAAGATTACGGATCAGTATTAACCGTCAAATATATATGTCCGTATAATATAATATATATTCAAATTATTATTAACATAGTATAATTCAATTGTAGTACCTATTCGTTTAGACCTCTATTCTAATTTTTATATTTTAAATAACGTTTAGAAAAATTTAAGCAAAGGTTTTAATATGCAAGTCGGAACGAATGTCCATGTGATATAATATTCAAAATATGTTATTCGACGTATTCGCGCAATATTTGTTATAATTAGCGATATTAATTTCAATTGTTACTTAGATCGTCTTCTAAAATCGTCATCAAAAATTGAGAAACTCGAAGTAACAATCAAAACTAGGCTTATAGCGAATACTCAAAAAATGTACTAATAAAAATCTATTTTTTTATTCAAAATAATTTGTAATACGATATTTATATTTATATTTTATAATGTAATATTTTATATAATTAAGGTTATAATGTAGTATTCATTATATCGCACGAACATCGGCACACCTGCATATATATTTTTGCTTAAATTTTTCTAAAATCCAACCAGTTCAATATACAAAAATTAGAATAAATATATAAACTGTAAAAAATATGTATACATATAAATGTTACATGCAGGTTTGTAGAGTCTCCTTGGATTGTTGGTACGATCGAAAAGAATAAATTATTGTTGAAATTCGACAATGTACAGTACACACAAGACTATTGACAATTATTTATGTTTACGAAAGCATAAATATAAGTTCCAAATTTTCAAACTTTTCAGACAGAAACGACTCTTCGTACGAAGGATACTTTATTTTTCATTTTCGACCAATCACCTCGCGAGGAATCATACTCTTCTCGATTGTATCACCGTTTCGGAAGTGCTCTGTATAAAACGTGCATGCTGGATCTGTAATCTTGAGGAATATCCAGATGCAAAAAAAATACATCACAAAACATTACAACCCGACCATCTTACCGTCAAACAGACACAAACTTTTGTGGTTTTTCGCACGTTGTGTCGCGCGCCGACTTATACATGCACACTAAAGATGCATACTTATCGGACGAATAAAAAAAAACATGCGTCCGATAAACGCGTGGCGTAGATCCGGGCTGGGTAACTTACGTATGAATAGCTTGGTATCCAGAATGGTTTCGTTGCTGGGCCTCCTCGGCAGGATCTCCTCTTGTAAATCTATCCAAAGGAGCGACGCGCACACTCTATCCACCCGATGGACCGGCTTCCCCCGACAACGGATCAAAGAATTGAACACTTTTGAAAATTCCGCGCGATTCACCTTTTCACGATGGAGTACGGGGATAGAAACGGGACGCGGCGCATTGACAACGGAAACAAACGGCGAGACTCTTCAGCACAATCGCGCGGGGCAAGTGGAACGTACTGCAGGCGACGACCGGCTACTGTGCATAGACACATCAGAATTCGTCCGAGAGAAGACTGAGATATATTAGAGATTAATTTTTTTCACTCCACTCTCCTTATTCTTCGCTCTCCCTTGTTTTCACCGTCCTGGGTAGAGACGGGCTCGAGCGAAGACCACCGTGGATCACGAGGAAGGAATCCCGCACAAAGTCCTTGACCTAGCCCAGGCTCTCCTCCTGTGCCTCTTCGATCTCTGTTGTCCTCGAACTTCATTCATCAGTATTTCCATCGGCTTCACGGGCCAACGACACCCAAAGCTCCGTTTCTCGCTGACCTACTTCCCCCCCTCTTCGATACTTATGAATTTCTGTTTCAATAATTGTTTATGATTTTGCTCTGTTGACAATTTTTAATTTCGCTTTGCTTTCCTCTCTCTGTCTCTTTCTTTCTCTCTCTATCTTAGCTCTCGCAAAAGCTCGCAAAGCACTAGTGACAGGATATATTCCATATCATCAAAAGCCATCGATGAACGTCGCCGTTCATCCGAGAAGACCTCCGTCCCCGAATTCGAATCCTAGACACATCACACTGAGTCCATATCAAGGCCTTCGGAAAAATCCGACCGACCGGAGAAAAAATTGCGCGTTTAATTCACGTGTCCACTATCACAGGCGGTATCCCGAGGGGAACATCGACGCGCGCGCGGAAGTGTTCTTCGGTGATCGTGCCGCTCAGTCACGGGTCTCAGTGCGTCTACTCCGAGCGTCCTTCCGATGTCACGGGTAAGGTAGGCATCTCGCGGATTCACTCGGTCGAACGGCGAACGAGGAACACGGTTCTAAGTCCCGAAAGTAGACCAAGTAGAAACGTACTGCCTGACTTGTAAGCCCTTACTGCTGCGGGCCTTACGATAGCGACCGACTGGGGCCGAGAGGCCTCGTTACAACGATCCGGTGGACCCCCCACTCGTGCAACGAGTGTTGTGTTCCTCCCGCTCCTTTCTCACTCTACCAGTCGCCGCTGCTCTTCTTCCGCTATCTACCGATATGCTTTCCACCGCCCCTACACCACTCTCGTGCTACCCTGCTAACGTCATCCCACCTCTTCGCATAATACCCGCAGTGGTGTCATACGGAGGCGATATCTTCATCTTATTGGGTAGCTCCCCTGTAGCCAGATATTTGGGATCGGCCCACTAAGGTAAGCTATACCTGAATGTACGTGTACCTGAAGGTACTGCCAGTAGCCCTTATCTTTTACCGTAACAGAAACCTTAAACGAAAACGTGTCTTCTAATTAAATAAGAGAATGTGCGCGCACGAGTGACATACATCGATATTAGAATATCCTAAATTTATACCGCGAATACCATGTTTATTTTAATATTTCTTTATTATTATTGCTTGCAATTTAATTTTTGATTAATAATAATAGCATTTATTATATGTATTTATTGTATCAAATAAATTTTTTAAGTAATAATAATTAAAACGTATTATATATCTATACATTTAACTAAATTTTATATTAATACATATTGTGACTTAAAAATTATTTGCAATTTAAATGACATATATTAGCTATGTGAAAAAGCCTACTATAACATGTGGCGTATAATTAACATTTTCAAGTTTTAACGTTTCAATTATTTCGACCACTCGACTGTCGACTGGCAGAACTTTGCGCGCGCGCGCGGCAGCGGAATTATTGGGTCGAAAAAATAAGGACGGCTCGCAATGACGATTCGAGCGAATCGATTCGCTTTCGACGGAAGTTTCCTCGTCGTTTTTAAACGTTATTCCACATTGATATTAACGACGGCAGGCGGACGAGAACGTTAAGATGAAAAAATTCAGAAGTGAGGAAAACGACGAAGTGCAATTCGCGCCGTTTTCGACAAGCGATATGCAACAACGTACGCTAAGCGTATTCGTGAATTCATATTGACCAACGAAGAATTCATTCTCCTTGCGGCGCGTTCGCGTTTTGAGTTTAATTGGCAGAAACGAGATTTCGAAATGTTACACAGTTACCTTCACTAATAACGCGCGCGATGAGGAAAAGAGGGGGGCGGTTAACGAAGAAAGAGAATACGAAGAAGCGAGCACATAGAACGGCGAATAGAACGGATTAAGTAAAACAATAGATTTGCAAAATCATTCTAAATTATTTTTCCGGCATACACACACATAAAAGTAGCTTAAATTAAATGTAAAGGAGATTACACGTATATGTGAAATATTGCACAAGATTAAATGTGTAATTTTTTACGATACGTTCTCCACAGAATTTTTATTTCGTTAACTATCATGTACGGAACAAACATCGAGTCATAAGTAAAAAAAAAATATACACAGTTATAAATAAAAAAAATCTAATAAATCAAGTGGTCCGTAAATTACAAATTAAATGAATACTGCTAATAATTAGCAGTATTTTATTATTTCGACATATTTAAACGTATTTATAATAAACTTATCGAAATGAATCAAAACTCAGATTTAAAATATAGTTTATTTATCAAAAAATTCCGATCGCTTCGTCTTCAGCAAGTCTTGTTGAAGGTTCGCACCGTAGGGTTCTATTTCGGCGTCAAGGTTGTGGAACCGCACACACATGTGATTGAGGCCGCCTTGGCGAAGTGCGCCGCACGTTTTTCTGGCAGGACTCAAGTCACTCGAGAGGCCAGTCAGGTAAAGGGATGTTCGTACGCTTTCAGCACATACTTCGTCATGGTCTCTTATCGCAGCCATTGAACGCGCTGCGAGCGCGGATCACCTCGCGCCGAGGTGTGTTGCGTATGATGCATGCAGTTAATTATATTCTTTTCGCCGCTCGCGCTCGCTCGCTCACTGTCTCTCTTTTTTCTCTCTCTCTCTCTCTTTCTTTCTCTCGCTAGCTACTTTACGAGTCGAGTAAGTCGGCTTTGCCCAGGACACATTCGCGCATTCCTATTCGCTATTTCGTTACCGGCGTATTTCGTTTGTAACACGCTCATTTATTATCAATCCTATTTCGCGTCGCGAATCAATGACATACATATGGAGGATGAATCTGAGATAGTATTGATTGCAATTTTGCTTTTTTTTTTTGGGTTTTTTCTCTAAGAGAGCTTTATATTATATAATTATTATTAGGTTTTTTTAGATTAAAATCCAAATATTGTTATGCAAGTCAACATTGTTCTCGACTCGACGAATCAGATTAGTTATCTATTATTCAAAATTGTATTTTTCTGGGTAAAAACAGACTTACAAAAAAATAATTTGAAAATAATTTCACACTAAAAAATTGTATGAATGAACATATATACAGACATAACTTTTGCATAAATATAAAATTTTGTATTGACGATTTATAGCTAAATTACTTAATTGTGATAATTCTCTTTTATATTTTTCGTGGCGGAAATATTAAAGAATTTCAATATATATTTATCACTGCTGCCTGGTTGCGCTTGCAAAGATGCCTTGCTTGTTCACGCAACGGACATGCTTTTTGCCGAATAGATGTCCCGTATTCTGTCTCGTACCTGAAACCGGGATTCGAAACAATCCTTTCCGCCTCATTCATATCCATAAACGCAAGAAAAGTTATTCTTCCCTGTGTTTCTATTGCCCTAGAAGGTAGTCGGTTTTACTGTTAACTTGCCTGTTTTGTGTCAGTAACGCCTTGATCTGGATCGAAACAGTAAAGTTTTTTAGATATCCTGATAGAAGGAAAAAACAAAAAAAAATTAACATTTGAAACAGAGAAGACGCTTTGCAAACGAAAATAGTTTACAAAATGTAAAAACTGCACAGGAAATCGTCTTTAGCAAAATTCTTCTAGTCAATATTACTTCCTAAGATCAATTTTTTGCTTTCGTTGCACGTTGGTAAACTTCTAAACCCTTATTTGACACTCTAAGATTCGAAGCAGCACACTACTATACATAATACAGCTATATATAAATCAAACATTTAATGTGGGAACAACATTTAATGGGAAAACACACCATAAATTATTCAAAGAAAATGGAAAATCTGTCTTTTTCTAGAAAAAAAATAAGAATATTTGATCCTTCTTGTTAACAGGTATGATAGACCCTATTGGAAAATTCCTGATAAATGTCACGAAGCATCTGCAGGCTATGTCGAAACGTTACCCCGAAAATTTGCGAGAGGATCGAACGAAAAAGAGCGTATTAGCGAATTCGTTAACCCGTTACGATGTCGCAATAATACAGCGGCGGAATAACGGGCGCGCTCGCCGCGTATCGCAATCATTTGCGTCACGCTAATTGTTGTATAACTTTCGATTTGGCCGTCGATGCCTCCGCCCTATAATCGCGGCGGAAGTGTCGGTGTGGGCGCTCTCCCGCTTCTTCTTCTTTTCTTTTTTCTCTCCTTTTTCCTTCTTTTCCCTGACGCGATATATAAAACGATGAATTACACGTGCGCGTGCGGAATGGCGGTCGCTCCGGAGGGGGTTTTCCCTTCCCGACGTGACGATTCGAAGGAGCGGAGCCCCACTTCTGGCGAAACAGTCGGTTACACTTTCGTTGCTGCGACTAGTGGTACCACTCGGCCACCTTCTTCCTACGTGAGAATCGGTGGAGGCAGATGAGCGTCCCGCCCGTCCCGCCACACTATATCCGATGTGTTAAAAAAATCAACTGCCTTATCTTGACGATAAACAGAAAGATCTGTATATTGCTTGCCTATGCTCATAAATTATTTTGTATCTACTTGTATATTTCATCTAAAGTTTCATCCAAAAAATTTCGATTTTGTTTTAGTTCAGTATCGGTGACGAGCTATCGATAATAAGATAAATTTCTTTGTTAATTAGACGCAAACGAACAAACGACGATAGAATAACGACTGCGTGAGAACTTGTATAAAAATGTTACACCAATTTTGAATTTTTTTAATTTTGAAGATATGTATGCCGCAACAAACCCAAATGGAACAAATGCGAGTAGAATTTGATTTATGTCCCGAGCAATTTTAATTCTAGCGATAAATCAAAGCCGTTTGTTCCATGATGTATTCTTTTTTTTTCGAGGCCACCGTATGGTCTTTTTTCTTTCAGGCCAAGTTAACTTACTAATTTATAACTCTTCTGACTCTTTCTTTCTCTCGGTAAATATATGAAATGCATGAAGGATAAATTTTTATTTCTCTTAAAAAGATGTCTCAGTGTCGACCTTGTTTCTGTCGATATACCATTTTTGTTACCAAACTCTAGTGTGAAATTTTCCGTTTATAGTTCAGGAAAAGGGACTGCGTGCGAAATTGTTTTGTA